GAAAAAGAAAGACAATATGCTCAGTAAGCTTAAGATTAAACTTTCGATTATGTCGAAAAGAGTTTCTAATTCTGGAGCTGCAACAAGATCTACAAAGCAGAAGCATGTTCCGATGTCCATTAAACAAGAAGTGGAATTACTGCAAAAAATATATATAGGTATATCCGTCTCCAAATTTTGTGAGGAATATAGCATTTGAAAGTTAACTGTTGTATAAATATATATATATATAAGGGTGATTCTAAATTGTTTTTACAAATTAAGAGGGGTGATAGTACTCATCCAGATGAACAATAATTACCATAGAACATAGGGTCACATTCCATTCTGAAAGGCAGAAAAGAGGAATATTAGAATTCCAACCGGAACTTACAACAGTGTTGGGAGAATTGGGAGGACGAATGAACGACACCAAAAGTTGCACAATCAGTTTAGTAGGGGGAAAAAAAAAAAAAAAGAGTGCATGAAACGGATAAAGCTGAAAACTTGTCATTCGAGTATTAATTCGAACTCAGACTTTGATGCCAAACACTGAGATGCACATCTTTCGTTGACCATCTCAAAATTTTCAACCTTGCAAACGATTGCAACAAGTTAATTATATAAATTATTAGCCTTGATATCAAGTATCAAGGTAACAGTTTTTTCCCCCTTCGCCATCTTCTCTCCTGTCCTCCAGGACTTACTGTACTGCGTTCATCCTACTTGAAGCCCCCTTGTATGGGACACAAAGTTCTGACAGCCAAAACACAGCATTAACTTTTCATGCTAATTTCGGCATGCAGTGGAAATTGGAGTTAGTTGATAATATTCAGCCCTTGATTAGATAATTAACTTGTTGCAATCGTTTTCGAGGTTGAGACCTTGCCAACTACAGATGTGCATTTTGAAAGTGATTAATAGTGAAACGTTACCTCCAAGACAAATTTACAATGCTGATGAAACTGGTCTTTTCTGGCAATATGTACTGCAAAATACTTTGGCAACCTCCACAAAAAAGGCTGCAACTGGTGCCAAAGTTTCCAAAGCTAGACTAACAATTTTAACATGCACAAATGCTGCATTAACGCACAAGTGTGAACTTTTCATGATCAGGAAAAATACACGAGCATTTAAAGGACAAAAGATTTTCCTCGTTATATATCATGCAAATTAAATAGCTTGGATGTTAATGTATGATTGGTTTGAAAATCATTTCATACTCGAGGCTCGGCAAAATTTGAATTGGATTGGTTTACATGATGCAAAAATTGTAGATAACCGTTCGACCTGATTGTAGATAACCGTTCGACTCATATTTCACTTAAGATTTCAGTGAAACATAATGTATTTGTATTATTTTTTCCTCCAAACTGTTAACTATCATTCAGCCTATGGATATCAGAATACTGCACATGCTGAAATGCAAGTATAAAGTAGCATTTTTAAAATACATGTTAAATTTCTTGAATAATGACAAAACTATTCAAGAATTTTTGAAATATTGTAGTATAAAATCTGCTGTATGGAGCATCACAAGATTGTGGATGGATGTGCCTCCAGATACTCCAGATACTAAAAAAATTCATGGCATAATTTATGGCCAGCTACTATATTTTATGGTGAGGATGATAGCCGCAAATTTGAAGGTTTTCGGATATCGCAAACAACTAGTGAGGTTTTCCAGTTAATATATTTTGTAAAAAAATGTGGAGAAGCAGTAATAAATGAAGATGATATAACAAAAGTTTTTCATTGTGATGACAATGCTCCAATCATCAATCAATTAACTGATGGCGAAATCTGTAGTATGGTTCTAGATCCAGAAAATACCACTTCCAATAGTGAAGAAAGTGAGAGAGGTAATTGAAAACGAAAAAATTTCAATTGATAAGTTAGTCGCAATTCTCGACACAGCAACTACAGGACTTCAATAGTGAAGCTTTGTAACTGAACAAGAAATTATGTCTCTCTATACAATTAAAGAGAAAGTATTAGCACAAAAATCGTAGCAACTTCAACAATTTACATTGAAAGAAATGTTTAATACAGTAAAAAAAATAAATATTAAGCTTTTTTTCATAAATTTTTATACCTTTTAGATCATAAATGCTTTATTATTTCATAAATCATGATTTCATATTTTTAATTTTATAATTTTTACATGCCATCTTACTAGGTTTAAACTGATGATCTAATATCCGGAAAAATCCCAAATCTGGAGTCATCAAAGTCCCAACGAGTCCGGATCTGACTTTGTACTGCAGTAGTAACAGGTATATTTTCTTTCTATACCACTGGTTTTGATTTGCCATGCATTTGAAAAACAGCTCGAAATTCAAAAGCTATGGCTGAAAGAGTTCAACTGGTAAAGAGCTGGATAATGTGCTCAACAAAGCAGTTATATAGCCTGCACTGAACTGCTAGATTTAGTAGCAATAGGTTATCTAAAGTTAATAGCTTATTTATAAATGAATTTGCTTTCTCAAATAATTCTGCAATGCATGTTAACATGTATCATTTTAAGTTATTCTTTCTAAAATACTACCGACGGATTAAAAAACACTGTTTTTTTTAATAATGATTTATCATTCCCACAAATAAAATTTGCTTACATAATTGTAGACTAACGCATATGGTTCTGATTTCAGTTTACTTCTACTACAGTCAAACAACGATAATTATAAACGAGATCAGAAGAAAATATTTGGTTTCTCTGCCTGAAATAGGAACGCTCAGTTGCACAGTACAAAAGTTACAAATTTTTATTTTCTTCAGCCTTAACTTTTCTGAACACAAACAAAAGATACAAGATGTATTATTTCATATTTGTATGTAATCATGATAATTATATATAAAATGTGAAATATTCATTACTTTATTTCAAAAGCTTCTTTATATTCAAAGCCTACCTTATTTTAGAAGTGATATAAATATGCAGGTGTCAAAAGTTCAGGAAGTCTATAATGCGGCTCCCAATGTCTTGAAGTTTGGCCACCCCTGATCTATAGGGTGTACAAACAAAAGCACCAGATTTAATATGCTCACCAAAATGCTATACTTTTAGAAAATGGAAAAATTTTTACGTACTTAAAACCAGCAGATGTTCAGACTTCCTGAGACTGATTTGACTTGGGAACACATGTTTTATCATTGTTAGTTCCTTATGCCCTGCATTACACAAAGAAATATGAAGTTTTGATTGTGGTAATTCATCACAATGAGGTGTATTCATGCAGTCAACCGTAAGGAAATTTTGTGTGACATACAGATGTTAAAATATATCTAAAGAAACAACAGTTCACAGATTGATAGAGAAATCTGAAGATCCAGGTTCAAGAGCAGATCACACTTTCTGTCGAGCTTGTGTGTTAAAAACATTGCAATTGTGTGTGACAGTGCTATTTACAATTCCGAATAAATTGACTCAGAATCCCATAAAGACTGGCAAAAAAAGAACTTAAAGAGGAAACTGTTTGTTTCCCTAGCCATCATCAATAAGCAAACGTGTGATTACGAATTTTATCCAAAGAGTGTGGTGCTGGAGAGAAAGTTGTGAAGAACATTATTTTTTATTCTTAAATCAAAACATTTACCTGTTGTAGTAAATACAAGGTGTATATACAGGGTGTTTCATAATTAATGGGACAAAAATAATAATCCCATACAAGTTCTGCAATTGATTTATTTAGCCAAAACAAATTAATTATGAAACTACAATTGTCCAAGCTTTATCTGGCAACAGGGAAAAACCTTCCATTTACAAAATTAAAGAACCACCACATTATCACAACATTAAACAGTGGGGAAGCAGTTTCAGGACATGGGCTGCTTGTGTAAGAAAACCAGCCCGAAATGAACAGCATCAAAACCCGAAGTGATTGAAAAAACTCATTAAACGTTTTAAAGTCCCACAAAATGAACGCATCATGCGAGTTCTGAACTCAATGTGCCTCATGTGAAGATGTGGCATGTGCTATGGAAATGTCTACGATTCTAGCCATACGCCTTTCAGATGGCATAGGTTAAAAACCTTCCAACAAACCATTGCATAAAGCTTTCTGTGGGAATTTGCAAAATAAGCTGGAGGGAGATGGTTTCACAGACTTGTGTTTACGGATGAAGCAACATTTCACGTTCCTGGCAAAGTTAATCGCCATAATTTAGGATTTTGAGCATAGAAAATCCACATAGTGTAATGGGACATAAGCGTGATTCTTACAAAGGTGAATGTTTTTGGTGCCATTTCCAACAGTTGTGTTTTTGGTCCTTTTTACTTCATGGAAAAATCAATGTGTGCATTTACCAAGATATGCTATCAGAGTGGTTGTTCCTTCAGCTGGAGGAAGCAGTTTCCCACTTCATCCTGCAGCAAGATGGTGCTCCACCACATTGGAATAAAAATGTACACCAATATACCTGAACAATTGTCTACCCCATCGCTGGACTGGCCATGCTGGGTCAAATGATATGCCAGTGGTTTGTTGGCCTCAGATCTAACCCCTTGTGGTTTTTTCCTATTGGATTTTGTTAAAGTGTTCATACACCCAACTTCCCAGAATTTACAATAACTGAAGTCAATAACTTAAATTGATTTAAAAGGACTGGCTCCAAACTGTTACTGTAGTTTAAGTATACCCTCAGTATATGAAATGATTTTTAGGAAGACATTCTTTTTTAAAAAAATCTTAACAAGCTTATTGAAAATTCAATAGAATGGTAGGAAATGTTTGCAGTTTTTATGATTAAGTAGTCTCATTAAAAAAAAGGAAGCTTTGCATTAAGAAATGAATGCTTGATAATGGCTATGCATCCCAAGGTCATCAGTATATCTTAAAAGCAATATATGTTGGTGAATATGAATTATGTTTTATGTCAATCATAATGCCTTGTCATCAATTGGAATTAACTCAGCAAACCAAAATGCAGTTGATTTAAAGAAATAATAAAAAACAGAAAACAATTACGGCATTGATAGCAAATGCAAAATGGCTTAGTAATTAGAAAGGAAAAAGTACAAGTATATAAGAACCTTACCACTGCTTTATTCCAAATGTAAAACAACATATATGCAATGACAGTAAATTCTAATATTTCTTCTCAGAAAGTATATATTGACATATCTAGCAGAACGGGAGTTCATTTACATAAAACAAAATAAAGTGTTGTTATAATAAAAAACACTACTATACAGTTCCAGTAATTTTTATACAATCCTAAACAGAAATGTCTATGAACTGATATACAGAAAAGTAATTTGAATTTCATGCATAAATCAGAATTTCTACTATTAAAAGGATTCTAGATCAAAGAGAGAGAAAGGGATGTGAATATTATTTGGACCAAAAGGAAAAAAAAAAAGAATACCAAATCAGCATTATATAGGGAAAAATATATAATATTTTTAGTTTGGAAATTAAATTTTATAATAAAAACATTCAATTACAAGGTATTCATATGAAAAATATCACAGCTGATACTCCATAACAATTTTATACATGTTTAGAAAAATATACACAAATTAAAATAATTAATATCATTTGCACTACCATAGCTAGAGAATAAACATGTAAAATTCCAAAAAATATTTTCAAACAATTTTATCTTTTGAATTTATATAACTCTTAATAACTGCATAACATGACTACAAAAATTATAAGTTCAAAATATTCAAATCTCTACTAAAGAACAAGTAGACAACAAAAGGTTTCAGCCATAAAAATGATCAAGAAAATTCTGCATATTAAAAGATGATTATACATTAAAAGTGCATATGCAAGTCACCTTATAAATTGTTATAAATATGAAAAATTTCCTAACATTTGTCTCTATGAAAAAAATACTGCATAAATCCTGAGCAATATTATCACAGGTGTTGCACAAATTAATGACTTGAAATTCACAAAATTTCTATTCTCTTCCAAAATTTGTAAGCAGACTAACAATATATAAATTTGAGAGAGGAAAAAATTTACACTTCTCATTTCTACATAAAGTATTCATTAACACAGTTTCCCTATATTTAGAAAATAAATTATCATTATTAAATCTGAATTTTGAAAATATATTTTAATTTCAAAAATCTATAATTTAAAACAGGTGCTTATGATATATAAGTAATGATAAATGTTCTAGCTATCAATCCTTTTGAAAAATTTATACTTATTTATAAATCAAATTGTTTATAAATTGTTTCTTAATCAATAATTTTAAATTTCCATAAAAACCTGCAAAACAAGCATTGAATTTTCTATTTTTTAAACGTTTGAAGATATATAAAATATGTTCAATGACTTATAACACTTTTGAAGTTTTTGTTGCACTTTACAACACTGAATCATAAGAACAATATTACATTTGCTTGTTTAAAAGAACAAATATTATTTACTTTAAAAAAATTTAATCTAATAAACTAAAATATTATAAGTAAAGTAATAAGTTTTGTAAAAAAATGAAACAAACAAACAATTTCAAATATCATTTTGCTTTATAAAAGAAATAACAAAATAGACTGATTAAAATATTTCTGCATATATGGAGAAAAGCAAACTAGTATGTTTTCTATCAATTTTACTATTTCAGTATTTTCCATTTTACCACACATTTGTTCTGTATTCATTTATGCATTTTCTATCAAAAATGGACTCCAAAAGGCATAGAATCTGTTGAGGCAAAATTTATATTTGGTTGAAGTGTCTGAGTCACATCAACATTTGGGAATGTATATGCTTGAAATGGTAAAGGAATCTGACTTGGACTCTGAGAGGAAAGTAAATTTTGAGAGAAATTTCTCTTTTCCAAACAAGGAGATGTCATATTCACTTGCCTTTGTTGATGAAAGGAGGGAGAATATGGTTGAGCAGGTGAATGATTTTGATATGAAGGAGAATAAATTGGACTTTTGTAGTTATTTATTGTCCGCAGTAACGTGCGCGCTACAGTTCTATCAAGACTTCTGAAATCGGCTGAATTTTGGCTTGAAAAATATCCAGAATCCTTGAACATACTTTCATTCTGTTGTATCATTTCTTGAGGGTAAGGGGTATTAGGATAAGATCTAGAATCCTGGAACATACTTTCTTTCTGATGTATCATTTCTGGAGGATAAGGGGTATTAGGGTAAGATCTAGAATCCTGAAATACTCTTTGTACCTGCTGTCGAAATGCATCTGTAATCATTTCTGGCGAACAAGTCATTGGAGAATTGGCACTTGAAAAATATCCCGAGTTCTGCTGTGTTACTTTTGAAAGAATAAAAGAAGCCTCATTAGAATGATACTCAGAGCCCGGGGAGATTCTATTCACCTGCTGAAGACAGCTCTCATTGATATATGGAGAATGAGGAGTAACAGAGCCTGCAGTATAGCCATATCCACAGTCCTGAAAGTTGCTTCTTCTTCTCTTTTGCAGAAGTGGACTTTCTATCATTTTTGGAGGGTAAGGAGTATGAGAAGATGCTTTAGAGTAATACTTGGAATCCTGTGAGACATTCCTCTTATTTATCAAAATTGGGCTCTCTCCTAAATTTGCAAATGAAGGCTTGCTTTGGTGCTGGTTGTATGACTGAGGAGCAGTCGGATAAGGTGAAGAAATATTTATGGAATTTACATTTTTGGTTATCATGGGAGACCAAGAAAGCTGAACTGTAGAATATGAGAATGTTGCAGTGGGAGAAGGAGGAGGAGGTCTAACAGGTGAATGAAAATTTTGTCTGGGTAATAAAATGTTTTGTTTGTTAGCAGGGAAGACTTGTGATTTATACAGTCCTCTAGACGAATACGAATGAATTGCATTAGTTGAAGGAGAAGGAGGTCTAATTGGTGAATGAAAATTTTGAGTTTGAGCACATTGCTTATTGGCAAGGGTGGCATATTGTGATCTAATGGGCGAAGGAGGTCTAATTGGTGAATGAAAATTTTGAGTTTGAACACATTGCTCATTGGCAAGAGAGGCATGTGATCTAATGGGTGAACAGACTAGATTAACGAATGGAGATGAAGTACTTGAAGCTGGGAGCCACTTCTTTATTCGTCTACGTCTTTCAGCATTTTCTTTACGTTTAGAATATTCATGGTAAGTTTCTTTCACTATAGATGTCCTTTTTAATTCATTAACAGATTCTTTTTTTGTTTCCTTTACAGTGGTTGTACTCTTTTCTGTTATAAGAGATTTCTTATTTGGCTCCCTGATAAGTAAACCCTTCCTTTTCTTCTTTGCCTTCCTTTTAGGAGTAATGTGATTTTCTTTATCACATGAAACTACTCTTTTATCAGAGTTTGAGACAACAGTTAATTTTCTGTTTTCAGTAGATTTATTCTAAAATAGAGGGGGAAAAAAGTGAATAAATTTAGTCATTACGAAAACAAATTAACTAAATCTGCACCAATTCTTTCAGAATTTTCATGCAAAATAAAAATTTTTAAAGGAGAGATAAAATAAAACTTACCTTTAAACAAACAAACAAAACAAAAATTAAAGCATAACACACTTTACATATGTGGATTTTTTCCCCCGGGGGTATTATTATTATTATTACAGACTTGCCAACTCTCCCGATTTAGGCGGGAGACTCCCGATTTTCGACCGCTGTCCCGCCAACCCGATTTACAATATATTTCTCCCGACTTTTTCTTATTCTTAAAATTTTCTCACGATTTTTATGGAACTTGGCCTAATACTTATTATGTGAACAAAAAAAGTGATTTTGGACGTCCGAAGCAAATGAATTTTCTCTAGATTATATCTAAAACAAAACCTTGCGAATTAGATAACTTCTGCTTTGTGAGTGAGAGCATATAGTATCCAGAACGTCCTTCTCCAGTTCTCCAATGGGCATCGTGCTCCACTGCGTGTCATCTGGCATATATTAGCCAATGAGGACAAAACAAGCTGTTATTTGGATGTTCTTTAGTTATTTCGGTCTTTTGTCCTGAGTTGTGTGAGTACACGTGCGTTTGGGAAACAGTTTAGAAATTATCATCTTTGTTATGTCTGCGAGAAAATTGAAATACTCGTTTACGTTTCAAAAATCGTACACAGTTGACTTTCCTTCCATTATTTCCTCAAGGAAATGTAATAAATTTGCGATGTGTACCGCCTGTCGTTGCGATTTTTCGATTTCGCATGGTGGAAGGGCGGATGGTCTCAAACATGTGCGTACACAAAAACACAAGGGCAACATGAGCTGTTTTGAAAAAAAAAAAAAAAAAAAAAAAATTAAATTTTTCTTCGGAAACAAAAAATCTAAAAGTTATTAATGCAGAATGTCTGTTCTCTGCCTTTTTACTGGAGCACAACCTGCCACTGAATGCATCGCATCACGCTGCAGCTTTATTTAGAAAAATGTTTCCTGATAGTGAAATCGCTAAGAAATACTTAAGTGCAAGAACCAAAAGAGGTGCAATTGTTAAAGAAATGGATTTGAAAAATAAATCTTCAGTTATTGATCGCATTAAAACAGCTCCGTTCTGCCTCTCTACGGATGGAAGCAATAATACCGATTCAAAACTGTATCCAATTGTTGTTTTTTTTTAATCCAGAGTCTTCAGAAATTGAGTGCAGTTTACTTTCTGTCCCCACTTTGGAAGGACATTTGACAGGCTTTAATATAGCACAGCTAATTATTAAAACTTTAAAAGAAAATGCAGTCCCTCTGGATAATTGCTTAGCACTAGGTGCCGATAATGCACCAGTATTGGTAGGCTTGAAGACTGGTGTTGCAGGTATCTTCAGAAAGAAAAATTCAGATTTGCAGATTATGAGGTGCACCTGTCACCTCTTAAATTTAGCAGCTGAAAAAGGAGTAGCTTCTTTACCAATAAATGTGGATGAACACATTGTTGATATTTATTATAATCTTGAAAGGAGTTCTAAAAAGGAGGGAAAATTGAAACAGGTCCAACAGCTGCATAATAGCAGTTTACAATTAGAAAACTTGGATGAAGTTATAAAATCAGCTAGGATTGACACCCAGTGGAGTTTAATTGGAAAACTGAAAGATGCTGATGGAATTTTAAAATATAGAGAACTGTCTAGAATTATGTTGGCCATCTTGACAGTTTCCCATAGTAATGCAGAGTGTGAGAGGATTTTCAGTGTTGTTGCGAAAACGAGGACTAAATTTAGATCTAATATTAGTGATGACACATTAGAAAACTTTTTTTAGTGAAAGCAGGCCTACGTGGCAATTGCTATGAACAAAATTATGAAGTTTCTTTCTTAAAGAAAGCAAAATCTGCCACTGTTTATACCATTTGTACAAAAACTGATTAAAGGTTTTTTTTTTTTTTTTTTTTTTTTTTTTTTTTTTTTGTTTGTTTGTTTTGTTTTCTTAAACGATGCAAGTAATAAAAATGTTTTTTATGTGTAAGGAATTTTTGTGTTGCTTGCATTTAAGAATTAGTTACAATTTAAAGTTAATTCATTATTGAAAACTATATTTTCCTCATTTAAAAAGTCTTTTTAACATTGTGAAATATCTCCCGATTTCTTAAAAAAATCTCCTGATTTTTGAGTGTCATAGGTTGGCAAGTATGTTATTATTATTATTTATCTTTACTGGTTATTTTAAAATAGGTGCTTTTCATTTAAGGGAATACTAGTTGTAATTGTGTGTCAGAGCATCAAGTGTGATCATCTGTTTATTTCACCATGCAATTCTTCCATGAAATTCATGAACAAGACAACAACAAGAATGAATGCAATGACATCGGTATAAATAAGCAGAAAGAATGTGTACTTCCTTATTTTTACAGCTCTCATGTTTTAAACACTACCAAGAATAGTGATAAATTGCTATACCAGTCCTAAACATGATCACTCAACAACTGCTTTCATGAGAAGAACTGTCGGTAGACCACATGTTAATGTGTTTTCTTTTTACCAATGAGAAAATGGTATATTGTTCTTCAAAGAAAGATGAATTTTACTCGTATTTAAATATTTCAAAATGGCCATGAAATGAAACTATATATCAATGAAAGCATTTTGGGGTGAAATGGGAAAAATTGTAAGCAAAAGAAAAGCATACATTCTGACAACTGGTTCAATGGTTCCAGTGCTGTGATTTATTTACTGCTAGGCATTAACCATTGAGTAAAGGAACTGGCATCAATAAAATGGTGTGAGAAACAACTCTTCCTTTGCAAGAATACATTAGTAACTGGAACAGTTTTCTGAGTGAGGTATAAACCTGAAAAACCAAATAAACAAATATCTGGAAAAATTGCAGAAACAGACAAAAGTCTGTTCATGCAATGAAAAAAAGAAGGGGAGAAAAAAAAAAAAAAAAAAAAAAAAACAGAGAAATTGAAAAAGTAAGGTATGTTCACTTCACTGTGAATTATAAATTTTATGGATCTGGAAACAGCTGCTCATACATAAAATCCTGAAGCACTGTGAGGCTTTACCAAGTGGGGAAATAAAACTCAGCTTTTCATCACCTTGTGAAATTCACAAGACAACAATCTTTGGGGCAAGAAAATACTTTTGAAGCCATATTCAAAGCAATTGTAGAAACATGGCAGCCAGGAACTGTATGTGAAAATAACATGAATTTGGAGAAAATTTTGATGCCATTTTGAATGAGAGCCATGAAGATAAGAAAACACTAATGAATATTTATCCAGTAATTTTTCCTTTAATATTTTTGATTCCATTTTAGTAAAATGCTCACCTTTTTTAAAAAATTAAACAAAAAAAAAAAAAAAAAAAAAAAAAGCGAATCAATGCACTTTGCTCACAAAACCACCAAATGCAAGTGTATTCAACTACTTTCAGGGATCCAAAAGTGGAACTGTAATGAAAGATCATGCTGCAAAAAAAAGGGAGGGTCTGGCTGATACTGGTTAGATGGTTAATGCATTCCTTTTCAAGTAGCAATTCAATTTATAAATTTCTTATGTGAGGTGAACACACTGGCAGAATTTTGTGACTGCAGCAAGAAGTGAATCAAATTATAACTACTGAATGAAATAATTACGCATAGTTCTTGCCTGTATGTGCCTTTTTTTTTTAATTATTTACTTAATAAAATTGCCATTCATTTCATAAAGCTTTAGGGTTTCATATACATAAAATTTTGTACCAAAATTTACATTTGGCATAAAGTAGCACCCAGTTAATTGTAAAGTATAAAAACATTTATAAAATTTTATGATTTTCTTTCATGTTCTTAACCCCTTAACCTACGATTTAGGATTCGAAGATGTTGGGCCGATATTGTATACAAGCTTGCGCAGTGTTCAGGACATTTGCACGACTTGTGTTGAACGCTAATCCGGGCAATCATAAACATGATGAATTATGTAATTTTCGAAGAAAGTATAGGCGAATAATTATTGATGATACATCTGATGACGATCAACTACCAGAGTCCTGGCTTTGGAAAGAAATAAGCAATAGTCCAAAAATCTGGGACTATACGATTACTCCTGGCATAAGAGAGGAAGCCTTATGTCATTTAGGAGGAAGTAGAGGAGAATTTGACATATTTAATCTAATATTTGATGAAATATTTTGGAACAATATTGTAACCGAAACGAATCAGTATGCAGATCAAGTATGAGAAAATCCACATAATGAGTGAGTGAGTTTTTTGGCGCAAAAACCAATGATGATTATGATGCGCCAAACGAAATGGTGGGATGACCTAATTTAATGAAATGAAATACTTATTAATAAAAAATTTTAAAAAACTATATGTACCAAATCCAGAGGATGAAGTCATATAAAAAACCTGGTAAAAGCACACATTAAAATATAATACAAAATCTGCTGAACAGATTACATTAAGTAATAAAAGCCAGTCTCTTTTAAATAATAAAATTAATTAAAATTGACCTCTCTTCCGATTAAACGGTCGAGAGGTAAGTCACAGCTATTAAAATATTTCTGATGAAGACTGTTAAAACAGGGACAGTCAATTAAAATATGATGGACAGATAGACAAACATTACAATTTGAACAAACAGGCTCACTCTCAGCTTTTAAAAGATAGTTATGTGAATTCTGAGGCAAGTCAAAAGAACTTCCTCCTTACGGTTTCTAGTTAATTCCCAATGCTCAATTCTAGGCTTTACATGTCTTAACTTGTTTTGAAGCTGAGCATCCCAAAGTTGCTGCCATTTTTTTCGGATCTTCTCTTTGAACACAACAGATGTCTCCAAAAGGGATGAGGCGACTGGACAGTTCAACAGCACATTTCGCTGTGATATCTGCCATCTCATTTCCTTTTATTCCTACATGACCGGGAACCCAGCAGTACAGGATTTCATATCCACGACACGTTAAGTTTATATGTATCTTGAGAATATCCA